CCACTTTCTCATTTCTCAACTTGAGAAGAGCATAAGGAGAACGGATGGGTGCTATTCAAGAGCTGCATGGAGAAACCATCAAAGTAAGGAGAAAAAAAAATAAAAAGAGCATCAAGGAGGAAGATCAAAGAAGAACAAAGGGGAATATTCTAAGGCTTCCATTGAGGAGTTTATAAGAGGCTTGTTAAAGTTCAATCTCCCATCTAGCTTATTTACTGCTTTTGAAGTCGTTAATTAAAGTCTCCTATTATAGAGGCCCGCCATAACCCTACCCAAAAGAATACTATTTTGTTTGAGCTTTTAAAATATTATCCAAGGCATACTTTCATGCTTCCTTATTTCAAATATTAAGACTAATCACTTTATAATCATGATTCATAATTCAAATGGTGTCTTAAAAGTCAATAATAAAACATAATCTTAGCCCCTGAAGCATACACCCTTTAAACTATAGAATTAACAAGCTTCATAGTAACTAAACCTTTACAAAACAAATTATTATCAGAATCATAATGTAGATCCATGCTTGTAGAGCAATGAGGTCTAAAAATGGTGAAAAAGGCATCTTGACCCAATTGAAGTCACCGCAATAGTGGCACTTAAATTCATCACAACAACAACAAAAACAAAGCCTTAATCCCACTACGTGGGGTCGGCTACATGAATCTTTTTTTTCCATTGCGTTCTATTTAGTGTCATATTTTCATTTAGTTCTAATAAATTAAGATCATTTTTTATACAATAAGCCCAAGTTTTCCTAGGTGTACCTCTGCCTTTCTTAACATAAGTCGAATCTAAAACATCTACTCTCCTAATTGGATCATCAGATGGTCCACGCTTAATGTGACCAAACCATCTAAAGCGATTTTCTCTAATTTTTTCCGTCGCAGGAGCTACACCAACCCTATCACGAATATAATCATTTTGCATTTTCTCTCTAAATGTAAAGCCACTCATCCATCTAATCATTCTCATCTCGACAACACTTAACTTAGTATTATGCTTCTCTTTTAAAGGCCAACATTCAACGCCATAGAGCATAGCAGATCTCACCACTGTCTTATAAAATTTTTCTTTCAATCTAAGCAGTACTTTTCTATCACACAAAAGATTTAAATCTCGTCTCTATCCTTAACATTTTATGGTTGTGTGACTATGGATGTCAAAATAGATCATTCGCGAACAGTCGAACACGAACAAATTTTTTGAGCTCGATATATTAACGAGTCAAACACGAACAATGGTATTTTTTAACGAGTCGAACGTGGGCTCGCTCAAGTCGGCCCTTTTACACCCCTAGTTCGGAGATAAATGATAAGCACCTACACTTCGAGAGGTAGACAATCTTTTCCAGACCCTAACCCTAAGACTCAAAAAAATAATCTCATAATAACCCTAACCCCAAATATATTAGCCCTATTTATACCCTATAATAATAATAATAAATTATTAAAATTTCCTTTTAGTCAAGCGCCTAAAACAAGTCTTCAAATTATATGATGGGCTCGGTGTGTCTAATATCATTCCCCTCCAAAAAAAAAATTAAATGCAATGTCCTTTAGATTGAAGAGAGAAAACAGTTGTGGGGACAAGTTGTATGGATTCTACGTGACGCCATCATCTGACAATCCTTTCCATTTATCAAGAAATCTGTAGTGACCCTCTAAGTTCAAAATACTATTATGTGCACGTCCTTTGATCGTATCCGAATTTGATGGTGTCCTGGCTTCCACTTCTCATCAATTTTGGAGACTATGCAGCCCCAAATAACTCATCAGTAGCTCATCATCATTAGAATCTCTGCCAACTATGTCATGTGCCACTTTCATGCCATTCAACTCAATCAAGAATCCTAACCCTGCTTCTTGAATTTCCCCTGTATGATATTGAGTGTTAACAAAGTACTGCATAAAATGGGGTCACCACAAAGCACCACTCTCTTATCTCCCTTATAAATACTGTGCGGTATCAAAATCAATCCTCACAAACTCCTCTGATCATCTCCACCTGTTATGTCCCCATCATTACACTTGAATCGCCTTCCGCCTGAAAAACTGCCGACAAAAGACACTGGTGCAGTTGGATGCAACCCTCCGCAAGGGCCCTACCCACCATAATTCACCATTTCATGCAAAAATCCTTTGAATCGATCATCTCTAGCCCCAAATTGCATGTTGTCTCGTTTCACCTACTGTCGCTCGTTCCAAACATCCTAATGTCATGAAATTTCCCCCAAATTTTGTCACTCAAATCCACTCTCGATTCCTCCTGCAACTCCAGATTCGCTTAAAGCAGTGACCCTGTTCTAATGCCTCACGAAGCTTTTTGATTGATGTCGCTCGCATCCGCTCTCCACGCAGCTGCTCAATTCCACAATGGGAAGAGACGTAAATTTGTGAAACTACACAATCTTTCTCATCATTTCTTTCAAGATTGTGAATCTCACCTCGATGGATGAGTCATCCCTCAATGGACAAAAAAGCTCCTCCATTTACGATCTAGTTTGGCTCACTTCTCTGTCAATTTTTTTTCCTCCAAAGCCCCTATATTTTTAGCTAACATTACTCCCAAGATCATTTTTTTCTCACTGAAACGAAATTGTATTTTGTGAACCCATTTTTGATTTCCCAGGTAACTTGAAACACAATTGTACGACAAGATCATAAGCCACAATCTCGTGGCTTCCCAGATCTCCCATATTGCAATTGTATCGACAGCTCGTAAGCCTCGATCCCTTACATGCCTCCCCAGATGATTTGAATTGAGGAACTCCAGCACAAGATTTGTCACCCGCTTCCCAGCTAGCTCATGTCGCGCTATGCAATGAGGTCTGATGGTCGTGATCTCATCGTTCGCTTGAATCGTTCACTATTCATGTTTGTATTGTGAAATTCCTTCATAAAGGTGACGCGACTGAGATATGTAAGCTGTGATCCTAATTTTGGCTTCACGTATAGCTCTTACCGTGTTTGTATCGAGATCAAACCCGTCGAATTATCGCAACTGTATTGTGATCGATCCTGTCTTCGGCTTCCCACTTCCCAGCTAGCTCTTACTATGAATGTATTGCAAACAATCCCGTCTTCAGCTTCCCTATTGGCCCTTATCATGATACAATTGGAATCGCAAGGTTATATGGACACCTCGTTCTTGTTGTTTCCACGGAGTCGATTACTTTGATACCAATTCAGTACAGACGGAGAAGAATTTTCACAACAAAATTAGGAAAAATAATTTTTTTACTTCACCAACACAAAAAAACACAATTCACATATATAAAGGATAAACACCTACAATTCGAGAGGTAGGTAATCTCTCTTAAACGCTAACCCCAAGACCTACAGTTCAAGAGGTAGGTGATCTCTTTCAAATCCAAACTCTAAGACTCAAGACAACAATATCATGATAACTCTAATCCTTAACATATTAGTCATATTTATACCCCACAACAATAAATAATAAATTACTAAATTGTCTTTTTAGCCTTGCCCCTAAAATAAGTCTTCAAATCATATGGTCAGTCGGATGTGTCTAACAAAGAGCAATCACAAAAACAAAAAAAAAACAATAAAGAAAGATCAAGGAAGAACCAGCAAGAAGTAGATTTTAAAGCTACAATAAAGGAGTCTAGGTTTCGTGAGGCCTTTTTCTCAACTAGCTCGTTCACTATTTTTATGTCATTAAATCGCCATTTAGGTACACATCCCTCCTTTTTTTCAAATCAATTCCTTCCCTTATTTTCAGTTGGCCTAATTCATGTAATAAGGAAAAAGTTTATTGTTTTTTGCTGTAGTAAATACACAAAATAAACAAAAGGAATATTATCTTGTTTGCACATTTCAATAACAATGAAAGGTATATTATAGATACGTCCTTGAAACATGTACTCCCTTTATATTTGGGTAAGAAGAGAAAGGATTGCCAGCAATCATCCTCCTCAACCCCAAAGCATGTAGTACCATGCACCTTAAAATATGAAGTACATTTGAACTTGACTTCACAAATTACAAAAGAAAAGTTTGTTATAAGTGAAAAAATTGGAAGGATGCTACAACAATATATTCCTTGAATTGACATCAAATCAAATAGAATTCCTAGCAATCTGATGTTTCACGAAACCAAGTTACTGCTGGATTATAAAGACATCTATTTTGTCATAAAAACAATGAAACATTGAAAAAGAAATCATTAATGTTTTCTAAATAAACCACTCAGACAGTAAAATGTTAAAAACTAAGCTTTCAATATTTAAAAAGAAAAGAAACTAAAAAATTGTTTTGATTGAATATAGTTTCAAGAAATAGAGAAGTCTTTTTAAACCGTGCGCCACAATTTTCTCTACATAATCGGTAGTTTAGCATGTTCGCTGAAAGAGATGTAAGCCAAAAATGAAAAAATTGAAAGAAGATCCCACCAATGTTTATAAAGACTTTGAGATTTGAAAGTAGATTTCAACAAAAATACAAACAAAGATGAGGAAAAGATGTGTAAATATTAAAAAAAACAACCTTATATATGAGCAGCATGGTAAATTTGGCGCCTTTGTGTGATTCTCAAACTAGTTAAAATGTCCAGGGAATGTCAATCAACATAAGAGATTGCTGAGAGAAAAACAGCCGTCCAAACTTATCTTTTAGGCCTCACTCCTTTATTGATCTCTCATCAATAGTCAGATGCCAAAAACAAAAACAAAAAGAAGAACAAAGAATACGAATGTGCTGGTTTGCAAGCAAAAATATACATGAACACATATATCTGCACATGCACAGGCACTCCTGCTCACATGCACACACTAAAACTACTTAATAACACTCATTTCAGCAAATAAATTTCTCAAAAGAGAGAATCCTCTCATGTTTTGGCATATCAGACCCCAATTATTTTCTATAAAAATTACAAAACTTTAACATTTTGATTGAAAGCCACACAGCATAAGGGCCGTTACTCATATTTAAGCAATTAAACCTGCCAAAAAAAAATAATAAACAATATTTACTTACTCCTGGAGTAGGGTGAGATGCAAGCTTTCATGGGCACATTCCAAACTGCATCAGGGTCATCTTCCGAACTGCACAAGGGAGGCCTCATTTCTGGATCTCTCCTAGAGAAGCATCCATTAGTCAATGGTTTTACCCAAATTACTGTCTGATTTTTCTTTGAAGCTATTCTCCAACACATTTTCCTTGCAAGATCACTCATTGAATTCCATATTCTCTGGTTCTTCTCATCCTGTGCATAAGCCTCGGGTGACGAGTAGACAAAATATCCTCCAGGTCTAAGAATCCTATCTAGTTCTAATAATAGTATCCCATCCCTCTGAAGCCAGTCAATCCTACAGCGTGAGCAATGAGCCATATCAAACGACCTACTCGGGAATGGTTGTCTCATTATTCCCAAGACACCAAGCGTTGAAGGAATTCCCCTCTCAAGAGCGAACTGAATCTGGTTCTCATGCACATCATTTGGCGCAAGAGACATCGCGATGATGTCCAGAGGCAAAAGGTAGGCTCCAAAACTCGCAACACCACAGCCCACATCCAGAACGGTGCGGATATTCCCCCCATTGCTGAGGTTACCATTCGGAAACTTGAGCATCTGTTTTCAGCATTATCAGTTGGTTCTACCATTTATGGATTCAGAATAAAGACAGCTCAAAAGCTGAAATGGAATGAACACCTGAGCGATGTGGGCGATATACTTATCAGCACCGGTGTGGAAATGGGTGCCACCGCCGGGAAAATTAATCTTGTCGCCGCGAACAACCATCCAGTGCTGGTCAGACTTCTCGAATGCAAGGTGGGTGTGTGGGATGTTCGCCTTCCAGACCTCATCCCGGCTCATGGGCCATCTAATTGGAATCTTTAGTGGAAAGAAAACAGGTTCAAGAAATGCGATCGGAACAACCGACGTAGACAAACAAAACAACACAATCATAGAATACAGCTTCCAGAATACAAATTAAAACATACTCTATAACCATGAGGCGGAGGAATGAGGCAATTATAGCGGCGGTTGCGGGGAGGGCAGTGCCGCTCGTAGTGCTCCATTACCGATAGATTCAGCTTAAGCTTAAGCTGGTAGATGAGGGTACGATCCATGCAAGGAATCAGCTCCGAGAATCTCTGGTCGCATACCTACAATGATTTCAACAAAGATAAACGATTCGTTCCAGCGCAGCGTAGAAAGGGGAGTGACGGCGAACAAATATCTGCGTAGAGGGGATTGTACCGGGAAAGAGCGCAGGAAATGAGGATAGAAAGACGAATCCACCGAGGAGTCGAAGGAGCGGTGGATGAGAGGTCGGAAGACGGGATCGGAGCTGTCAGCGGAGGAGTCGTCAGTGAGGCGGAGACCGGGGGTGAAGTACGCGCCGTAGTAGACGACGACGAGAAAGAGGGCGACGAGGAGGGCGATGAGAATGGAGGAGAAGAGCCGGCAGCTCAGTGGAGCATTGAGCCTCTGCAGTGGCTGCTGCTGCTGCTTCATCTTCCCACCCGCGAACCCTTCTTCGCTGCCCCTCTCACTTTATGCACAGCTTGCTTTTAAATTACACGGGATCCAGATTCCAAGGCAGTCGGACAAGGAATGAGGGAGATGGGGCGAGGGAAAAGCAGGGATGTAGGACTGAGCTCGCAGGTTGGCTCGTGGGGGGGCGCAAATTTGCACCTAAATTGAAACATTATTCAGAGTCCTCAAATTTTAGTATTTTAGTCATGCACACAATTTTTATATATTTGTATAATTAATATTTAAATTTTCATATTCATTGTATATGAAAATTATGTCAGCAGGACTTTAAAGAAAGACGAATGAATCAGAAAAAAAATATGATCGATCGAACGTAGCCCTCGACAACCATTTGGAATGAAGATTGGCGAAGAAGGCGTCTAGTTCGAGCAATCGGAAGAACGTGCCAGAGGATTTTTCATATGGCAGCGATCAGCTCTCAACATCATCGGCAAGAAGCCCCATTTTAGATCAAAGGCCGACGGAGTTAAGGCTTAGCAGATGGTCAACGAACTTCCTACCGATCAAAGGAAAGTCAATGATGAGAAGATTGATATGTAATTTTATAAAGCTATGACCTATTTCTATAAATATGGGGTTTATGTCATGATTAAATGTTATGCTCCCTTTTACTATTTTCTATTGTGTTTTCTTCATCTTTCTCATCCTTCCCTGTGAAACATTCTTTTACCTTAGGTGTGTTTTTGATACACTATTGGATTAAACATCTTTTAAAATGTGATGAGTGTGAAAACATGTTGTCAACGAGAAAATGAGCCTAGTAACAATAACAAGGAGATTCTAGTCAGATAAACATGGTAGAAGCAACATGCACTAGGAAATTCATAGGAGAATTCATTCAACAAAGCCTGCAAGAGTTTAGAATTAAGATCATCAATCAAATGTCGGAACAATTTGTAAAGGTGCTCAGATTTGTGGCTACCTTGGGAGCATCTCGACTCCAGGAGGAGAACCAACCCAGCAAGGAGCACCTAACCCTCCCAA